GCTCCCTATACTATGCTAGGGCCTGTGTGAACTGAGGTGCTCTTCTGTGGCCAGGATTGCAGAAATCTGCACTGGGAATGTGGACTACACATTGTAACGTGCAGATCCAGTGCTTATCCTTTCTCCCTAATGGGGAGTTCCTACTGGCTATCAGTTGATCCTGGCCAAGCCAGTTGCCTTGCTTTATTCTCCTTCTGTGCCTCAGAGGTTCCTGTCACTTCCCTGCTGAATTCCAGTGTTCTCTCTAGAAACTCTATTTGATGTTTGGCAATCCACTTGCTGTTTTGGACCTTTGATAAAGGGGAGGCAAGAGCTGGACACCTCTAGTCAGCCATCTTGAACTATTGTATCTTTTTTGTTGTTTTTAATTTTTGAGTTGTGAGAAGATTTTATATATTTATTGTGTATCTGGGTTTACTTTTCTGAGAGTTGCCTATTTAAGGTAGTTTATCTTACTGATTTGAGTGAACTTCTATATTCTGTATGTAATACTTCTTATTCACCATCTTTTGATTATACCTTCCCTTGAGGCTACTTCAAGTATCCCTCTGTCCTCCACCCACATGCTTTCTAAGACTATTTACCCCTTTAAAAAATATTTCCTAATATGCCTCTGATAAGACTATAGACCTTTCAAAATGGTATCATATGTTATATGATATCATATGTTATAAATGGTATCATATGTTATAAAAGTCTGAAGAAACTTTGGTGTCTGTTTCCAAAGTCTGATGGTCATTGGAAAACCAAGAATTCTCACTCAGCAGCCCTTAAATTATTCAAATCTAATTTGAGGTTGAAAGAAATAAAGAATTTAGTGCCTCCTTGATTTAATCAACTATGGAAATGATGCTCTCTCCACTAATCCAAAGAAGAGGTAGAGATAGGTCAAGAGAGAATGCTGTACAGTTTTGAGCAGCCTTTGCAGAATTATTTAAACAAAAATATCTACTGATTTTAGAAAATATAATAAAAAATTGTTATGAGAATGACCCTTTTTCTACCTTGAAGGTTTTTTGACTTTAACAGTAGAATTCCCTAGATAAAACTTAATTTTAAGTTAAATTTTGTTTATTTGGAAATTCAAATTATCAGTATTAAAAACACTCCGTGTATTTAAAATATTAAACTTACTCAAGTGAAGCATTAAGAATTTGGAACTAAAATAAATGAGATAATGAGAAAGTGAAAACATATTTTTTATAATTAACAGCTCATTTTGAGTTAATTATATACAATTACCAAAATCTAATTGCAATTTATTTTCTATTATCTGTGGGAAGAATCACAGGCAAGGGAGCTTACATTGCTGCTTCCTTCCTCCATAAATGCTATAGAATGAAAATAAATAATATGTGAGGCCTTAATGACAAATAAGAGCAAACAGTACAGCACAGCTGAGCCAAACCACTGGAAGATAATTATCACATAAAAGATGGTAATGACTTAAAAAGTCTCAAGTTGTTTACAGGTCCTCCAGTTTTTTGTTTTTTGTTTTTTTACTTTGTTTATTGGTAATACAAAGATGACCCTTATAAATTAACAGTTTTGTAACTCTGCATACTCCTAAAAAATCTGACCATTTTTATATTTTCATATAATACTAAGCAATTCAACAAAAAAAAATTTTTTTTTTTTTTTGAGACAGAGTCTCACTTTGTTGCCTAGGCTAGAGTGAGTGCCGTGGCGTCAGCCTAGCTCACAGCAACCTCAAACTCCTGGGCTCAAGCAATCCTCCTGCCTCAGCCTCCCAAGTAGCTGGGACTACAGGCATGTGCCATCATGCCCGGCTAATTTTTTCTATATATATTAGTTGGCCAATGAATTTCTTTCTATTTATAGTAGAGATGGGGTCTCGCTCTTGCTCAGGCTGGTTTCAAACTCCTGACCTTGAGCAATCCACCCACCTCGGCCTCCCAGAGAGCTAGGATTACAGGCGTGAGCCACCGCGCCCGGCCTATCAACAAAAATTTTTATTGAACACCTATTGTTGAGAAAAAAACAACCTTGCTAAATACTGCAGGAGATGAAGAAAAGCCACTACCTTTAAGTACCCTAATAGTAGAATAAGGCAAATATACACATATTTATCATCTATACAGAATATAAGGACTATACAAGAAACACAAAGAAAATATTTCTGGAAGAGGTAATATTTGAGATAAGTCCTAAAAGACAGGAAAGAGTTTTGACAGGCCAGAGATAGGGACCTATCCTCCCTACCTGAAACACAAACAACTGAAACACACATACACACCCTAGGGAATTAGACCATGGACACCTTTGGGGGAAAATTATTCTGCTTACTATAGCTCTATATCTAAAAACCTGACCATTAAGTACTGTTAAGTGAAAAAAAAAATGTGTTCAATTTTATCTCGAACATATACTGATGTTGATTATATTTGTAAGCACAAAGAAATGTTTAGAAGGAAACATATCCGAGTGCTAATACTAAGTCAACCAAGACAGGCTAGAAAATAAAACAGGGAATGAAAGATGACTGATATTTTCTTGATATGTCTTTGCATGTGCTATCTTTTATAAGAGAAATGTTTACTTTCAAGTTTTTTTTAAGTTTAATTTAAAATATTTTAAGATGTTTCATGAAATAAGATGTATAATATAAACACACCACACATACTCATAAATAGGAAAGTTAATATAAAGATTAGCTATAGATGAGATTATGGGTACATTTTATTTTTTTCTTTTGGCTTATCAGCATTTTATATTTTTGTCTACCACAAAAGAAAGTAAATCATTAAAGATATAGATAAACATGAATAGCATGAAGAAAAAAATATTTTAAATTAAAACATATATTACAAAGTTCATACATATCAACTAAAGATGAAATATAATGCTCCTATATAAAAAAATGTGGATACAAGCAGGAAATTAAAACTCCACAAAGAAGAAACACAAGGGGTTAATATACGCATAGAGAAATGTTCATTCTAATTGAGTACTGAATAACTACAAATTACAATAGGATTCCATCTTTCCACTGACTAAACTGTCAAATATCATTTAACTCAGTGATCCCCAACCTCTTTGGCACCATGGACTGTTTTCATGGGAAGACAATTTTTCATGGACCTGAGGGTGGGGGATTGGGGGATGGTTTTGGATAATTCAAGTGCATTACATTTATTGTGCACTTTATTCCTATTATTATTATTAAATTGTAATCTACTGGCCGGGCGCGGTGGCTCACGCCTGTAATCCTAGCTCTTGGGAGGCCGAGGCGGGCGGATTGCTCAAGGTCAGGAGGTTTAAACCAGCCTGTAGCAAGGACGAGACCCCGTCTCTACTATAAATAGAAAGAAATTAATTGGCCAACTGAATATATATATAAAAATTAGCGCGGCATGGTGGCGCCATGCTGTAGTCCCAGCTACTCGGGAGCTGAGGCAGAAGGATCGCTCGAGCCCAGGAGTTTGAGGTTGCTGTGAGCTAGGCTGACGCCACGGCACTCACTCTAGCCTGGACAACAAAGCGAGACTCTGTCTCAAAAAAAAAAAAAAAAAAATTGTAATCTACTATGAAATAGTTATACAACTCACCATAGGTTGGGGACCCCTGAAACTATATAAATCAACATTGGAGAGCTCATTTATATAGTTGATTGAAAACACACCTCTATTCTCTTGTAAAACTGTTAAAAAATTACAGTTAAAGGGGAAAAAAAAGACATAAACCTATGTAGCTGCAGAAAAGTGAAGAGGAGAGGACAAAGAGATCAAAGATGTTATAAAATTTTAGAAGCCTAGAAAGCAGATGTATGAGTTGAAACTCAACTAGCAAAGTAGAAAAATCAAAACTAAAATATCTGCTAGCTGAGGTTGAAGGAGATTATACATTGAAACATGCCAGAGAACTTCTGAAAGGTTCAGGGACTGATGGAAGCAGGTAGGAATGCAGGTGGGACTAAAAGTAAAGCTGGCTGAAAGCAGTCAAAAGTGAAGTCCTCCTCTATGTGTCCTTATCTTGTGGAGAAGACTGAAGGTTTATCTCCTGGAAGAGGCTGAAAAAGAATGACTCTGGACATGGGGGCCTGAAATACAGTTGAGGGCTGAAACCCAATAGTTAAAAGGGGGAGTAAGTGAGAGTCTACATAATGACTGATGGGTCCCTTTTCTCTTACTTGACTGGGCTCCCCACAATGGCAGCCAAGCTTATATTAATACAATGCTTCCATCCCTTCTTCCCACCAAGGCAGAAGATTTATCCCTAGGGAAACTGACTACCCAAAGGGAAAAGACCTATCAATGGGAACAGGTAAGGGTTCCCAAGGTTCCCACCTGATCATAGTGAAGTCTGCTAATTGACAAGCCTTGCTCACATACACTTACAGCTTTCAATAGGTTTTAACTGTGTTTCTTGTAAATATAAGTGGATCATGAGATCATGGATCAAATATAAGTTCATCATGTATAAAAAATAAGAAAATGAAGGATGATTCTTGAAATCTATAATAAAGAAATAGCTATAGATAAAGTCAAAAATTTATCCTGAGAAATGTTCTTCAAGACAAAATTTAAAATAGAAAAACTCTATATTATCCAATAACAGCCTAATAGATAAAAATTTGGGCATTATTACCACACAACAAATATTTTTTGAATAAATTAATTACTATGCTTTACAATTATATACTAAATAATTTCTTATCTTAAGTAATAAGAAAATATGATACAGTAAAAAAGTGACAAATTCCTGTATAAGAATAATCTCTATTATCAATATAGACTATAATATGATACAAAGAAAAGTAGGAGAAAAAGGTTCAAAGGATTATCTCTGAGTTTTAGGATTATGAATGATTTTTATTTTCTTTTTTATACTTTTCTACCTTTTTCCAAAAATTTATAATGAGAACATATTTATTCATGTGGCCAGAAAATCAAATTAACCAATATAGAGCCATAATTTTATACTAAATATACATTAAATATGTCTTTAATATTCTTGCCTTCACCACTCCTCAGGTTTACCTTGGTACACAGTCACTCCCATTCATATCCAGATTGAGTTCTCGGGCTTTCATGAGCTCTTTGTCAGCAATCAGTTCTCTTGATTTAAACACAGCTTGAGTTCTTAACCTGTAAAAATAAATTTAAAGAATTTTTAATTCTGTGGAGTCTGATAAACTGAATGGTAATCCTTGCAAAAACTATGTTCTTTCAGTTAGATCCCCAGGTCTTATTTTCAAATTAAAATTGAATCTGTCAAAAATAAATTAGTAATTCCTAAGTATACATAAATAAAAACAAATTGATTTCATAGAAATTCAAATTATATTTATTTATAGGGGAGTAAGGAAGATTAAGTTGGTTAGAATATCACTTAAAAACTCAAAATTATATAGATGTTTTTAGTGGGAGCATTTAAAGCCTCTTCTCTAGAAAGTTAAATATTCCCTCTAAAGCAAGTGTATTTTGATCACATGAGTATAAATGGGAATTTTAGTAACTCTAAGTATACTGACCTGCTCAACATTTACATGGGAGGCATCTACTTCTAATACTGACATTTCAAAGAGCTAGCTAGGGCTACAGTTCAGTAATTAATATATTTTCTCTGGGTCACAGGTAAATTCTTCCAGAAGAATTGGAAGACATTCTTTTCATCAATGCCAACTGACACCCATACTCATATGTACTGAGGAGGTAAGAACAATGAAAAAAGCAGCATAAAGGTCTTCTACCAGGAGTCTGGGTATTAATAAACTCTATCAAATATGTGACACTTACTACCTATTCTCTCAGTTTTTATAGAAATGTTCTCTGGTTATCCGTAAAAGTATATTCTTCTTTCAACTGTTAAATCAAACCATGAAATGATAAAAACATTATTAACACAGTACCGTCATTTTCATCATTGTTAAAAGACATTCTTATAATTGCAACTATGCACAGTGATGTACAAAAGGAAGTATATAGATTAATTACCTTCAGGAACTTATAGTTTAAGGCTAATATTTGTGATACTCACAATGAATCTATGAATTAGTTACTTTAACTTTTACTATATGTATTTACAGATGACTAAATGAAGGCAAAGGCATAGAACTCGCCCAAGGTAACATATTTTTTGGTGGTGAAGGCAGTATTTTTTTTTTAAATCATAGTTAGGTATAAAGTACATGTATTAAGGCATATTGTAAGTGTGGGAGACAAAAGCAAATATTTTTAATTAGCCTTGATTTTTATTCATTATATATATAATACTTTGCTCCAAAAAGGATTTAATGTGATTCTTGGTACTGTCATGAATAGTATTCTGGATAAATCCTCTCCAAATCAATCTGGAAAGGGCTCACAAAGATAATGCCCTTTTGGAAATTCTTATTGACTATTATGTAATAACAAGATAGAATGAATTGTTAATCACAATTTAAGTAAATGTCAAAGTCATGCCAAATTTATTTCAAAATGACAGGCGCATCCCAAAATTCTGAACTACTATTAACATTTCTGTGCTAACTCATTTGGTATTCAATTACAGATTGCCTTCCCAATAGTTCTGCTGAACATCCTGAGCACTATAAACAATGCCTTGTGTATAGAAGATATTAATTCATTATTTAATTGAAATGAGATTCCTTGGGTCATTTAAATGACAAGTTCACTAAAGACATATAAAAGTTCAAATTATATATAAATTAGAGAGTGAGAAATACACTGAGAAACAAGATTAAGTCTTGTTCATTTTGGTACTCCTTCCATATAGTTCTGTATAGAGTAGGGGGCTTAGTAAATGTTTGCTGACACAAGGAAAATGAAAATGAAATACATACTACATTACACATTAAACACTAAGGTGCTAATTTTGTATTAATATTTATTATATAACTTAAAGTAGAGTTAGGTGAAAAAGAAACTAGATGTAAAAATTTTGAGTAGTGAGATTTTAACTGTGTTGTAATGAATAGATAGGGTGTAAAAAAAATGGATAAGTAGAGCACAGATATTTAAATCAGAGGAAAAAGTATGACTTGAGGAAGAAATGTCAATGACACATTGAAAAGATTTCAAGGAGACACACTTGCCTTTGGAAAAAAATTATTTCTTAGGAAAAGTGGGGCAAATGAGCAGAGGTGATTCTAGATTATAAAAAGCTTTGAATACTAGGTTGAATAAACATAATCTAATAAATTATCATGGGTTATTAAAATTCAGAGGTGGCACAATAAAAGCAATGTGTTAGGAAGATTCATTTGAGATAGATATTCTTGGTACATGATAGAAATGTGCAGAATGTTGAATTTCAAATAATCTTCATAAGTGATAAAATTACATAAATCCAAAAAGTAGGCCAGAGCATAGTGTAACTTTCAGCCTAGAAATATGAATTCTGATACTGATTACTTAAATGGATAGATCAGGCTTCTAGTTGTGGGTTGTAGCAGCTAACTTATGATAAACCACAGCAGAAGTAAGCAGGAGAATGAGAAATGAAAGCTGTTCAATCAAAAATGTCTTGAGTTTCTGTTTATAATAATAACAATACTATAATGGCTCATATGTGCTAATAATATAGTGTAATATTGGAATAATAATAATAATAATACCCCTATACTGTAATAATAAGTCACAGAAACTATTGTGCTCTTTCTTTTAATCCCTAGACTAATAGAAATGTTACGCTTATTTGGATCTTCTAACCAAGTCAATAATAACCTTTTCATTTCAATAATTAATCCATTATGCTGCTTAGTCATAATTGATGCCTTCATTTGAGCACTGCCTTTCACATGTCCCATTATTCTCACTTTATCCTTTTGTAATTGTTCTGATAGCAGAGCAACTGAAGCCTAATGCTTTCCCAGTGAAAGATGGCATTTGGCCTTTCTCCGAACGCTTAATTATTTCTACTTTCATTTCCATTGTAATAACCATTCTCTTCACTACAGGTTCACCTGGACTTGCAGTGGACTTGCTCTGGAGGTATGGTCATAAGAGCAAACACAGACTCATAAAATCAAATAAAAAAGTTAAAGTGATGCTGTGCCTAAGAGAACCCAGAAACAATGAGAGTAGCTGCTAGCATAAAAATGCTATGCCAATGATCTGCTTACACCATGTGGATTTGTTTACATGTGTGGAAGAAACTATTAATAGTTCCAGAATTATTAATTTAATTATTTAATTATAAATTATGCTTATGGGGAGGCTTGGCAACCCCCGCTTATAAGTATGGCATGTCATTAAGTCGGCTCATCCACAAAGCAGGGACTGCCTGTAACTACAAACCTTTCAGACATCAAAAAGGTAATGACAGAATACTAAAAACAAGCCTACACATGTAAATTTGATAACTTAGATGAAATGGACCAACCCCTCAAAAAGCACAAACTACCATAACTCATTCAATATCAAATAGATAACTTGAATAGCTCTAAGTATTAAGGAAATTGAACTTCCAATTTTAAAATTCCCAAAACAGAAATCTCCAAGTCTAGATGGTTTCACTGAGGATGTTACCAAATATTTAAAGAGGAATTAACTCCATTTCTACACAATCTTTTCCAGAATGTAGAAGTGGAGGGAACACTTCCAAACTCATTTTATGAGGCCAGTATTACCTCGATACTAACACAAGACAAAGAGAGTATAAAAAAAGAATACAAGAGACCAACATCCCTCACTGATACTGATGTAAATATCCTTAACAAAATATTAGTAAATAGAATTCAGCATATATATAAAATATATATGCTGAATATATATATATATATATATATATATAAAATATCATAAACTATGACCAAGTGGAGATTATTCCAGGGATTCAAGGCTGGTTCAACATTCAAAAATAAACATAACCCACCATATCAGCAGGCTAAATAACAAAAATCACATGATCATAAAAGGTATTTGACAAAATTCATAAAAGGGATTTGACAAATATTGGCACCTATTCATGTTAAAACTTTGCATAATCCTTAACAGAAAATAATTGATAAATTGGACTTAATTAAAATGAAAAACTTTTGTTCTGTTAAAGATCCTGTTAATAGATTGAAAAGACCAGCCATAGACTGGGAGAAAATATTTGCAATCCACATATCTGACAAACAACTGATATCTAGAATATATGAAGAACTCTCAAAAATAGTAAAAACATCCAAATGATCCAATTAGAATATAAGCAAAAGACACCAAAGAGATAATTTACCAAAGAGGAGAGGAAGGAAAACAAGCACATAAAAAGATGTTCAACATCACTAGCTATTAGGGAAATGCAAATTAAGGCCACAATGAAATATCACCATCCACATATTATTAGAAGAGGTAAAAATAAAAATTTGTGACGATACTAAATGTCAACATAGATGTGGAGAAACTGAGTACTATATAATAATAAAATAGCAATTTAGCTTCTGAAACACTGTTCTTAGAGAATTGTTAAGGATAAATGTGGATAAATTTATAAGAACTGGTTATTAAATACGTTATACTTCATGACCAGAAAGGATTGAATTTAGAAGGTTCTAATCATTTGTTATATTTTATATTATGGTTAGTAGACATAAATATGGAATGATGGCAGCTAATTACAATTCTTCACAATTTGATTCCACACCCTGAAATATCAAGCTTTTACTTAAAGCCTACTATCTCTACAATAATATCAAACAGCAAAGGATTTTGTATAATGATAATATCATTTAAACATTTCTTTGGAATCCAGTAATAATTACATTGGATTGCTCAGAGGTAGATACTTTAAGTTAACATTTTGTAAGACAAAGTAATCTTTCAAGTCTTCCACAGAAGACAGGGGAATTTACTTAGTAGTCATGGTATGCATCTTGAGCAAGATAAGATCCTGAAGAACCATTTTTTCTACACATGTGCTATAGTAACATACCGTGTTCTTCAAACTGCAGACATTGCTGAAAGAACAGGTAGGACTCACCAATTATAATCCAGTCGAGACTGGTGAAGCTGCTGCTGCTTTAGGAGAAGCTTTGTCTCCTGCTGGGCCAGCAGATGCTGAAGGCGCTCCTTTTCAATTTCCAGCTCCATTTTCTGAAGCATCAGTTGCTGCCTCCTATCTTCTGAGAGCTGCTTTTTGAAATTAGTTTCACTGGGTTGCAGTGTCCTTCCACCATGCATCAGAGATGTCCAAGAAAGGCCACAATAACTGCAGGATTCTGCATGTGTTTTAGGATGTTGAGGGGCTATGTTTGTAGGATGTCTCTCATGAACATGATCTATTTCTTCAGAAAGTCTATGACCACAACACTGACTAGTTAGACTAGGCATAAGGTGTGGACATTCCTTCATCTTCAGTTCTTCTGGTAGAGCTTTTTCTGTTGGGACTGCATCCATTGGTTTTCTCCCTGGAGATTCATAATTACATGTTCTGGTCTCTTGTGGCACCCTATTTAGACCTTCTTTGGAATGATGAAGGGTTATTGGTTTCAAAGAATTATTCCTAAACTCCATCAAGGATTCTGAAGCTGAAACCTGATTTGCAGACTTAGGTCTCTGCTTGGTTTGATAGTAGGTTTGTGGTCTGGCAACACTCAAATAGGAACCATCAAGTTCCATAGATGAAGACCGGAGAGTGCTTTTCCTATTGGATACCTAAAAAGAACCACAAAATCACTCATCAAATAAGTACGCAATAAAGCAAGTTTTTTTCTTTTGGCTTTTCAGAAATCAATGATATATGTTTACCAAAACAAAGCTGTTGTTTTGTGTTCTTCAATATGAAATGAGAGTATTCACACAGATAAACAGACATGTACCACAAAGCTACATCCATTTTCAAACAACCTACATTTCAGTAAATCTATATAAGGATGAGAAAAAGTATGGCTACATGCTGCTTATGCAAGATCTTTGGTGATTTCATGAGTTGCAAATAATGAGGATTACATAAAATCAATTTTGAGAAGAGGCAAAAACATTAAATGTTAACGTCTTAAAATGTTTACTTTTTAATACTGAGCCAAGAAATCCATTCAGCCACCTTAAATACTCTTTGATTGGCCATTACACAGCATGAGATTTGATGTAAAACATTTCACCTTACACTGAACAGGATGTTACTTACTTACTGCTAGAACTTTGATGAGTTTTTATAAATATCTTTACAGAACACAGATAAAACCAAACACTTTCAACAAAATATGATTCTAATCAAAAGTGGTTATTTAAATACAAAACATTTAATTTCAGCTGCAAACATAAGTGATTTTCAATTAAGCTGTTCAAGTGATTACAGTCTGATAGAACTCAGGCAGAAAGGAATCAGTTGCAAATTGCCTCTGACAGGCCAATAGAGTGAGCTTTTCTAACATTTTAGCCTTAAGGCTGTTCTATCAGGGAGAGCAAAACTTAGTCTGTATCAATGATTCTCAAACTTTAACACGTATCAGAATCACCTGGAGGGCTTGTGAAACATAAAACTCTGGCTTCATCCCCAGAGTTTCCAACTGTCTGGAGCAGAGTCAGGGAATTTGCATTTTTAACAAGTTCCAAGGTGATGCTGATGTTGCTGATCTAGGCCCATACTTTGAAAATCACTGGTCTGTATCATGGAATATCTCCAGCTGCCTAACTATTGACCTTGGCCTTGGAAGGCTGAGTAGTTACACTTAGCTCAGCTCTGAATATCATTGAATTAGTACAACAAATAAGCAGCTTTTCTTCACAGTGTATTTCAGAAACATGGTGTACCCAAATTCCAGTTGGTTGTCCAACAGAAATATTCTAGTTAAACACAAATGTTGAGTGTGTTACTGATGAGCAACTTGCTTAGGAAGGTGGACACTTGTGATTAACAAAATAATAATGAAATAAATTAACATGGAAGAATCTTAATCAAACTGGACTAATAAAGGTGCATTTCTGAAAATGAATCCAGCCAATGTTTAGATTCTTCCAAGGGTAGCCCTTTACAACATAAAAACTTCCCTTCAATTTAGATCTTGAGCAAAGCAAAAGAGGACCACCAAGTCCAATTAACTAGCAAGATGGGTTGTTCAAAGATATATTACCCATAACAGCTGTTACTTCTTTTGGGCAGCCAGAATGTAACCTTTAAGACAAAGGCTGAAAGGAACAAATATCCACCTTTGAAGAGGTCTGTTTCCAAGGCTTATTCAATCTGTTCTAGATACATGGATTCAGACTTTACTGAAAGATAAAGACAGGAGAAAGAACCTAAGCAGTCCTAAACAAGTGAAATATCTGACATGTCTCTCATATCTTTTACTCTCATCTTCCTCTCCTTTATGCTTTCATTCAAAGCCCATTTATGTTAACTCTTCACTTCCTTGCCATTTTCTGTCTCTATTCAAGCAAATACAGGAAGTGTTCTGCTTATTCAACACTAACCAAATAAGCAAAACCAAATAAGCAAAAATTCTCCTTGATCTTCTATCCAAATCCACTGAAATAATCTTCCACTTTTCATGGATAATTATTTGCAGGCTGAGGGAAGCTTATTTGCTCAAGGCTGTAAGAGAAACATGACCTTTTCAGTAAACTAATATATTACAACTTCTATACTAGTTTCCTATTGCTGCTGTAACAAATTACCACAAACTCTGTGATTTAAAACAACACAAATTAATTCTCTTACAATTTTGGAGGTCAGAAATTAGAAATCTGTTTCACTGGGCTAAAGTTAAGGTGTTGGTAGGGCTAGTTCCCTTGGGAGGCTCAGAGGAGAGAGGATCAGTTTCTTTGCTTTTTCCACCTTCTAGTAGTCACCTGCATTCTTTGGTCTGGGGCCTTTCCTCCATCCTCAAAATGTATCACTACAACGTTTGCTTCCATCATCATCACAGTGCCTTCTCCTCTCACTCCTGCTCCCTCTTATAAGGACCATTTGGATTAAATCAAACCCACACAGGCAATCCAGAATAAGCTTCCCATCTCAAGATTTTAATTTGATCACATCTGCAAAGTCTCTTACTTTAAAAAGTCCCTTGTGCCATATAAGGTGACATTCACGGGTTCCAGGAATTAGGAATGGACATATTTGAGGAGACATATTCAGTCTACTGCAATTTCCTTTTAAATAAAAGCTAATTTATACACAATTTCTAGTCTAGAGATATAGAATTAATGAATATTTGGATCGCTAGCAGAAGTGGGAAAATATCCCCACTAATTTACTTTGTAATAGCTGAAAATGGTGGATTGATAAGTAAAAAGTGTCAACTAACAGAGATACATAGCAATACAATGTTTCCTGTCCTATGATAAAGGATAGAAGGCTATTACAGTGATTCTTAATATTTTAACTGAGTTTCTAAAGCAATGCTAAAGGATTTCCATTTAAGTGAAAATGAATAACATCTGAGAAGACTTGGTTCTCTTCAAAGAAGACATCCAATCCTGTACACCAAGCAGATGAAAAGCTACAGAAAACAAACTAGTCCTAGGCAAAATTTCTAATAAACTATATCATAAAAATTAATCTTATTTTATATCTACAGGGAAATTCTACTTCACATTAACCTCTCCTACTCTGAACTTCTGCAATACTTACTGTCAATACAAATATTTAACATTTATCATCTGCTACTTTGTGTGGTAAATGACCTTATTATAAAATTATTATACTTTAAAAATGATAGTTAAATTTTTAAAAGATCCAGAAACTTAACTATTTTTATATCATCATTATATATTCTAATTCATGTATTATTACATAATGAGACAAAGCATATTTATTTTATACTCTCATTTTTGTTTCTTAATATTATTTACATATGTGCATTTATAGGTACTGATGTACTCTACACTTTAATGGTACTGATTATGAAATTATTCACAAATTCAGGTATTCAGAATAATTCTAAAATATTTTGGGGACAGTTAACTTTTCATGTTTTTGAGAGGTAGTGCAGCATAATGATTTTGATGCATGCTTTGCTCAAAGAGAACATTGTCAATTACCTGCTGGGTGACTGTGCATGTGTGGAAGGCAGAATTTTAAGATGGTCCCTCAAATTCCCATCCCTTGGTGTACACACCCTGTATTATCATATTCCTTTGAGTGTGAGCAGGACCTGTGAATATGAGAGGGTATCAATCCCATGATTACGTTATATTATATGGCAAATGGGATGTGTCAGATGTAACTAAGTTTCCTAATCAGTTAACTTTCAGTTATTAAAAGAGAGATTATCCTGCGTGGGCCTGACCTAATCAGGTAAACCCTTTAAAAGAGGGTCTGATCCTGTTCTACCCCTCACCCTTTGCAAGGTTAGAGATTATCCTTCTGGCCTTAAAGAAATAAATTTCCATGTTGCCACTGAAGGGAGTCATGTGGCAAGGAACTCTAGAGCAGAAGGCAGTCTATGGCCAACAGCTAGTAAGAAAATGGAACATGCATTATTCAAATGCAAAAAACAAACTTCCACTAACAACCATGTGAGCTTGGAAGAGAAACTTGAGCTCCAGATAAGAATGCAGCTAGGCTGACACCTTGATTGCAGCATTATTAAGACCCTCATCTAACTAAGTGGTGCCCATATCCAAGACCTGCAGAAACTGAGAGATAATAAATTTGTGTTGTTTTAAACTATTAAGTTGGTGGCAATTTGTTACACAGCAATAGAAAGCAAATACAGAACATTACTCAATTTGCCTAAGCCTCAGGTTTTTCATCAGTAAAACAGGAATTTAAAAAAGCATTTATCTCAAAACTGAAAGTGATGGCGAGAAAGATGGGTAGTTATCAAGGGTGCCAATTTATAAAAGTCCAATTTACAAAAAGAAAAAAATATTTACCAAAACTTCTTACAAGGAGAAGCCTTCTCTATGTGTGTCTATGGGTATGCTTGTGTGTGGCCAGATCCCCAAAGGGCATGTTCAGTTACAACGGATTATCCCTAATCTGTCTTTGGGTTTGGTTATCTACTTTTACTTGGCTAAAGTTGGATTTGCAAGTCAGGCCAGAGTTGAATTGCTTGAGATAATAGGTTCTTTCTTCATCTTTCTCTTTCATACAAAAGATGTTAGTCTTATAATATTTTGTACTGCCTCGCAAGGTTCCTGTGATGATTAAATGAGTTAATTCATACAAAGCACTTAGATCATGCCTAATATAAAGTTAGCATTTAAAAAATGTTTCCTGTTATTATTATTACTACTATTCTTGTCATTGAATTCTTTGCATCAAGAAATTTTGAAGGCAGGGGCTATTTTTATCCCCCTGTATGCATTATACTGAGGCCTGCACATAGTATATTCTCGATAAGCGTGAGCTGACTGTGTCAGCTTGTAGAAACATTCACGTTGGGTTATGGGTCACAGTCATTAAAAAAAAGAAATTAGAATCCATGATTAGGCTGAATTGTCTCCTAGTAATAAAGAGGAAGAGAGGAAAAAGAGAAAATTCCCTGTTACAGTCTGAATATAAGAAATTAAGTTATTTTATTAGTGGAGCTGAAAACAGATGTTGCCTTTGGGACACATGGAAGCAACAATGGGCCTGAATGAAACAGATGTGTTTTTCTTTCTGGAGCTGCTCCATGCTTTCTATGAGATATTTACAAATATAACTTCTCTTAACTAAGGCTTAAACTAACAAAAAATCCCAAACTGCTGTCTGTGGCATATGG